CTGGTAGAAGACAAGTATGGAACATGTTTTAGACCCTCAACATTAAGTTCGGTTAGGTGAGGTGAGGTGAGGTTAGGTTAGGTTAGGTTAGGTTAGGTTAGGTTAGGTTAGGTTAGGTAGTGTGGTGCATAAGTAGTAATTGTGGTGTGGTGTACAGGTATAGTGATGGTGGTGTGGTGTACAGGTGGTGATGGTGGTGTGGTGTACAGGTGGTGATGGTGGTGTGGTGTACAGGTGGTGATGGTGGTGTGGTGTACAGGTCGTGATGGTGTGTGTGTACAGGTGGTGATGGTGGTGTGGTGTGCAGGTGGTGATGGTGGTGTGGTGTACAGGTGGTGATGGTGGTGTGGTGTACAGGTGGTGATGGTGGTGTGGTGTACAGGTCGTGACAGTGTGTGGTGTACTGATAGTGATGATGGTGTGGTGTGCAGCAGACTATACAGGGTGACCAGTGACCTGTATGGCCCTAACACAACCCGGAATAATGAACCCATTTGGGATGTTAACTACAGGTTATGCATTAGCGACTTAACGAGTGTCTCACCTTGCGTAGCTTACATGAAACGTATGTTGCGCGCGCGCGCGTGTGTGTGTGTGTGTGTGTGTGTAACCATGCTACATCCAGTCATCATCACCACAATCCAAAAACACCTTATTTTTCATACCCTCCCCCTTCCATTCTTCCCCCTCTTCCTATGTCTTCTCCTCCACTCCACCTCTTCCACCACTACATCCCCTCTTCCTTCCCTCTCCCTCTTCCCTCCCCACCCATCCTCTCTCCCCCACCCTCCCCCTCCCCACCCTTCCTTCCTCCCCCCCCCACCCCTACCCCACCTCTTGCTATTATGGATAATGTAATTAAAACTCCCAACTACTCATTTAATCTTTTGTATCTTCTCATCCACCATTTAGGTAAGTGTGGAAGCATTAGGTATTGAACACCTCTAGTAGCTGCCATTACGTGGGCCAAGAAGAGCTCGTTTGCTGTGTATTTAATTCTATTACTCCATGTAAAGGTAGATACAGGTGTGGGTGCAGGTGTAAGTACAGGTTTGTGGAGTCCATTGAAAGGTGTATCTATATGAATCAAAACTCTTATTCGAATTTACACCTCACACACGGGCGCAGAAGCACACGGGCACACTTGTAGCAGACATATGTATGCGTCTCCCAAAGGGTTAATTTAGAGTGGCCAGGTGTGTGTTGCTCATTAAGGGAGGGGGTGATGGGAAGGGAGGGGAAAGGGGGTGAGGGGTAGGGGAATTGGAAGGAGTGGGAATAAGGGGTGGAGAGATAGAAGGGATAACGAGGTAGAGGGAAGGAAGGAAGGAAGGAAGAGAGGAAGGAGGGATTTAGGGAGGATTGAATCTTCACCTCTTCTACCCTTCTCCTCTCTCCTTCCTCCTTCCTTTCTCTTCCTTCTTGTGCCATCTCCTTCTCTTCCCCCTCTTCTTCTTCTTTATCACTTCCTCCAATTCTGCTTACCTTTTCTACCTCCTCTTATGTATTGTCATTCCTTTTCCTCCTTCCCCTCACCTCCCCCTTCCCTCTTGCCCCTTCCCCTCCACCCCTTCCCTCTACCCCTTCCTCCTCCTTCCCTCTTTTCTTCCCTCCACCTCCCCTTTCCTCACCATCCTCCCCTCCACAATCAGTTCCCCCTCTGCCCCTCCTCCCTCACCCCCAGCCTTGGGTGAAATTGCTACCTGTGGAAGTAATTGCTTAAGGGTCTACCTCATTATCATTTGGGTGTGTGTAATTAATTTGGTTCTAATCCTTTGTTTACATTTATCAGATGGTGGTGTGTGTGTGTGTGTGTGTGTGTGTGTGTGTGTGTGTGTGTGTGTGTGTGTGTGTATACATACATACATACAAATCTTATATCTCCATATTAACACAACCACAATTCAATGACAACGCTTTTGACCAGGTAAACACAATCCAACCACAATCTTATTTCTTTCTTACCTCACAATCTTACTTCAGTCCTGTGACTATATTATCATAAATCTACCACAATCTTATCATATTCCTACCACAATTCTACCACAACACCAACCACAAATCTTACATTCCAACCAAATCCCAACCACAATCCTTAAACAATCTTACCACAATCCTACCACACACGTATGCAAAGCTCATTAACACCTCCAGATTGAGCGACTTGCCTCTAATCACTTCATTAATCATTCAACTAAGCCTTAATGACTGATGGTATTGGGGATCTCTTTGAGTTTCTTATGTCGGGTATTAGAAAATATAGCAACACCCTGCCCTGTGTGTGTGTGTGTGTGTGTGTGTGTGTGTGTGTGTGTGTGTGTGACTATCGCCTAATTAATATCGCTAGTATTATTTCTACATTTACATACATACATACATATATTACATACACACATACATTACATACATACATACATACATACATACATACATACATACATACATACTCTCCAAGTCTGTATGAAAGTATGACCGAGAGGAGGCGCAGAGGTTCGTCCTAGTTAATAGTTTATTGAATTATTGATGAAGAACCGTTAATGATCCCGTGTATTATTTAATGAAGATAAATTAATTACTGTTTACATAAGAAAGACGGAGATGATGATGATGATGATGATGATGGGAGGTAGAGAGGTGGATGATAATGATGAGATGATGATGATGGTGATGATGATGGGAGGTAGAGAGGTGGATGATAATGATGAGATGATGATGATGATGATGATGATGGGAGGTAGAGAGGTGGATGATAATGATGAGATGATGATGATGATGATGGGAGGTAGAGAGGTGGATGATAATGATGAGATGATGATAATGATGATGATGATGATGGGAGGTAGAGAGGTAGATGATAATGACGAGATGATGATGATGATGATGGGAGGTACAGATATAGATAATAAGTTTTGTATTTTTGTCACTGCAATTCCTTATCTGTATGTATGTATGTATGTATGTATGTATGTATGTATGTATGTATGTATGTATGTATGTATATTTCAGTATTTTCTGCAATAAAATATAACTCGTGTTTATATATGTATCTTTGTATGTATGAATGAATGTGTAATATGTCTGTGTGGCTGTCTGTGTTACATATACATTAAAAGGAGCACATATTTATATTTCTTACATAAAACACTACACATTAATATTTCATAATTATCGTACATCATAACAAAGGCATCCCAAGCACGTCACTTCTTGGTATCGTATAAATGAATGTAAAGTGTCGTCGTTTATGGTTAATCGGACTATTTATTTATCTTTTATCAATTCTTCCATCATATTACCTACCTCCTTCCTTTAATGTAAAAGAATTATTATCGTTTTTCTTCCTCCCTCATTTATATAGTTTATGTACATATTTCGCTAAAATTCTTGTTGGATGTTTGTTTGAGACGTTCAGGTATTCTACACACGCTATCGAGTACCTCACATACATACACATACACACACACACACACACACACACACGCACACACACACACACACACACACACACACATACATACATACATACACATACACACACACACACACACACACACACACACACACACACACACACACACACACATACATACACACACACACACACACACACACACACATACACACACACACACACACACATACACACATACACACACACACACACATACACACACACACACATACATACATACATACATACATACACACACACATATACACACACACACACACACACACACACACACACACACACACACACACACATCGCGGTACTGGGAATTCCTATGTCAGTTCACTGCCTGTACTTGTTGCAGTCACTGTCTGTCTCTAGTAATTCCAATATTTATCTCTTCCTTGTTTGTCTAAAATGATGAGTATCTCTCTCTCCCTATCCTTTCCTACCTTCATACCAACTTAACCTAACCTAACCTAACCTAACCTTTACTCACCTGTCACTCACCTGTCACTCACCTGTAACTCACCTAATCCTCTTTACTATCATGGCAAAAACACATCATGCAATCCTTTCCTAATTCCCCGTTCCGCCTCCAATCCTCTTTCGTTACCTTTACTCCACTTCACCTTCCGTCACTCATCACCTTCCACTGGTAACTCACTGTCACTGTAAGTCCGAAAAACTGGTCATCTGCCGGGGTCGAACCCGGGACCTATGGATTAGAAGTCCATCGCGCTTTCCACTGCGCCACGGGGACACTACTATACTAGTAAATAATTTAGTAGTATGAGTCTTGCTGTGTTGTGGGTGTTGTGGGGGGAAGGAGGGGTGGATTATGGGGAGGGAGGGGTGTAGGGGGGTAGAGGGAGTAGAGTGAAAGGGAGGTTGTAATACGTGAGGGTTGTGGTGTGGGGAGGGGTGGGTGGGGAGGGGGTGTGGTGTGGGGAGGGGGTGGTGCAGGGGAAGGAGAGGATGTAGGAAGGGAGAGGAGGTACGGTGGGGATGAGGGGAGGAGGTGTAAGAAAAGGAGAGGAAGAGAGCGATAGAGACAGGAGTAGAAAGAGGAGAAAACAAGAGAAAGTAAGTGATAAAAAGAAAGATAAGAAAAGAAGATGAATAATACACGATGAGGTGAGAGAGAGAGAGAGAGGAGAGAGAGGAGAGGAGAAAATAACACCTCAGTTGGCATCATTTATAACTACCTGACTAGGCCTGTCTCTCAACCTCTTGATGATCATGTCTAAACCACGACCCAAAGTGAGCGATAATTTACCAACCCTGAACTAAACTATCTGAAAGCCCTTTATATTTTTTTGTTTGGCATATATCAGTAGAAATTTAAACGTGATTCTTAATGTATTTTGTATTGCATCGGTTTTTTTTCTATTCTTTAAGACATCATTTATTTGGTGTCCATTAGTCTCTCTCTCTCTCTCTCTCAGGTGGATATATACGCACATACATATAACACACACACACACACACACACACACACACACACACACACACACATATTATTTAATGAACAAATACTTAGTACGTA